GATGACAACTTTTTCCTTTTACTTGAGTTTAAAAAAAAATGTTAAAGTAGTATTATTCAGTACAGTTTTTGGGTACTCGACCCACCTCTGTTTATCTTTATGTTTTTATTTTCCTATGAGCTTCCACGAATCCTAATCAATGAATCATATTCCTAAATATATATTAAACCACATAAATTCCTGTTTTAAAATGATTTTGGTTTTTGCACAAAAAAATAAACAATGATTCGGTTTATTTCTTATTTTTGCCACCATGCTGTTAAAAAGTAGATTTGTTTTAATCCTTTTATTTTGAAATAAAATAAACAAAACATGTATATTCAAAATGAGGATAAATGGCACAAAGATACTAAAGAGAAATAAATAAGTCTAAAAAAATCTTATTGCAGACTTTAAGAAAAAGATTACTACATATTCCTACACAATATATAAAAAGGGGCAAGTATAATGCAACTGCCTTCAACACAGTGAAGATTTAGCTAAATGAATATCAAATAATGGAACCCAGCTGGGTCTCAATCGACTCAAATCGTTTGAGACCTTTGAGGCATACTGTACTTTATGTTGGTATGCTGTGTGCATCTTCCAGGTTATGTACGCTTCAGGAAGGATTATCCAGAGCTCTTTGAGAACCTCACTCCTGAAGCAGTCCGCAGTACCATAGAGGCTGGATACCCAGTAGTTCTGCCAATCAGAGACAAATATGGCCATGTGGTCCTGCTCTTCAACATTGAAGGCTGGGACCTGGAGGAGATCACCTTTGATGAGGTGGATGCTGACACACATTTTTTCTACTAATAGTGACCTTGAAGATCTTAGAGGTCATGCAACTGAATAAAATGTGTCTCTACATGTGAAACAGGTGCTGAGAGCATACTGTGTGATCCTGGAGAAGCTGCTTGAAAACGAAGAGACTCAGATCAATGGCTTTGTCCTGATTGAGAACTTTAAAGGCTTTACTATGCAGCATGCCTCAGGAATAAAGACCGCCGAGCTCAAAAAGATGGTGGACATGCTACAGGTCAGACCAAATGAACTGATAATACCAAAAGTGTTTCTTTATTATGCTTCTCTGAGACATCTGCCTGTTTTGCAAAAGTGATAATTTATTTAAAACTACTTAATTCTGCATTTGTCTTATGCCCTCTGGCGGACGATGGCGGTATTACAAATAATAAGTAGTTAAAATTGACTGCAAATATTATATGTGCTCAAAACATGTGTGCATCAATTAGGAAGCTGTATTTGCTTTTTACTTGACTTCTGTATTTGATTTTTTTCCCTAAATTTTATAAATGTTTTACTTCATTTTCATTAGCATATAAAGGCAGAAATAGATTTTGATAATAAGTTGTTGTACATTTTAACCCTCAGTTTCCCATATGTAATATTATCCATATTTGGATGGAATAAAAAAAAAAAAAAAAAAAAAAAAAAAACAGAAATCAGAATCTTAATTTAGACAGTCTGGCTCTAAATGGTTGGAATCACCTTGCAGTTTGACCGCCATCGTGTGCTGTGTCATGCATTTCTGTGCAGGACTCCTTTCCTGCCCGTTTCAAGGCGGTCCATGTTATTCACCAGCCCTGGTATTTCACCACCACGTACAACGTGGTTAAACCCTTCATGAAGGCCAAACTGTTGGAACGGGTACGAATGACCACACACAGCTGCTCCCTGTTTTTTCCAGTTGGTTTATTCAATTCCTCTCATTGAGCTCTAAAAGTCCCCCTGTTGCTCCACAGGTCTTTGTTCACGGGGAAGAGCTGGACGGCTACTTTAAAGAATTTGATGCAAGTATTCTGCCTTCAGATTTCGATGGAAAAGCCCCAGTGGCTGACTGCCAAGCCATTGCCACCCAGCTTTTTGGCTCTGAAGACACTGCGCTCTGAAGGAACATTCCTATATATTCATACCTGGAAAAGGAACTATGTGGAATATGTTGAAGTTAGATTTGTTTTTGTTTTTTCCAAATTCAGACGTATAAGAGCATGAAAGAAGGGGGCATTCTGCAGATAAGAATGAGATAATAATAGTGGGGGAAATTATGTGTAGATATAAATAAGAATAACTGTTAGCTTTTTTGTACTCCGTGATACCCTTACGATTCGTTACCGAGGAAGGAAAATATATTTGGGGGAATTATGACTCAGTCAACATTTCGTATTAACTGGTTGGATGCTGTCTGCCTAAAAACTAACCATGGTGAATACAGATGTTGCTGTCTCTCTGATTGCTGTGCCTTACACTTTTCAGTTTGACTTTATGAACAGTATGCATAGTATAAAGGGGGATGGATCTGCCTTAGATCAATGATTCAAGATTATTGTGGTGCCTTTGGAAATTTCCATTTGTCAGCAGCCTTTTTTCATTTGATCAAATGTGATGCATGATTAAAATGCCCTCTGTTTTATCTTATGTCCTCTGTTTGCTTCATTCACCTAAACAAGGATTTGTTAGAATTGATGCGCATGTGTCTGTAGTTCTGTTAAAGATCTTTTTATCCTTTGTTTGTATTTCATTAACTTGAAATAGCAATAAACCCAATTTAAAGCAAAAGCATCCTTATTTAGTTTATCATTTCCAATCCACGTTCCTTCCTCTGCTATCACATCAGGATAAACATAGAGCCGCTTCCACTCTGTGTATAAACCATGGCCTCATGGTTTTTTCAGAGACTGTCTGTTGTTCAAGGCAGTGGAGCAAAGCTGAAGGTGAATGAGTTCAGGGTCCAGGAATTCAAAATCACATTTCTGAGCTTCTTTTAACACTCTGAAGAAACTTAATAAGTCTGAACACTTCTAAGGAGGGTAATGTTGCTTTACTAACACTGTCTTAAGTTATTTTACTCCGTGATTAACCAATCTAGTATATTTATCAATCAATCAACTTATAAACCTTTATCATGTAGACAGTGATCACTTTTCTATATTTAAAAGATGAGTGAATATCATTTCTAAGGACAATTATTTAGTCTTAAATTAGATAAAATCTAAGATTACAAGAAAAATCTTAATGACTACTGGTGATGATTTATACATAAAATCTGTCTTTATTCAGCTGTATATGTGTTTCGATTTGTGACCCTTTATGATACATACACCGGGTCCAGGGTTCAACCAACTAGCTACTGACCCTTTAAAGCCTGGACCATGAGATAATTTACTGATTATTCTATTTTTTTTTATAGTCAAATCAGAGTTAACATAAAACTTTCTTAGAAATTAGATAAAAAATGTTGAATAAGTCACATATTTGCAACAATTTTGATACACAAGGCATTTCTGTACAATCTTTTATATGTCAAATACATGTGTCTGATTGTATAAATCAGTTTTCAAGAACAAAGATATCACACTGATGATGTATGTATCAAATATGATACATGATGATGGTCTAATGTGTTAGCATTGCTAACAGCAGGTATGCTACTGCATAGTAGGCAAACCGTTCATAGGTTTGAAAAGCTCAAACAGCAGAGGCAAACTTTCAAAAAAAAATCCTTCAATAGGAGGTATTTGAATAGTCCATGCAAATACCAGTTGAGCCTGATGATGCACACTTTGAAGCAGGCAAATTATCTAGTAAGCATTCAATGATAAACTGTTTGTGTCCAAACCATTCTATTTTCTTTTGAAGGTGAATTAAACAGATTTAATTAGGTGCACTAACAGAACAATAATCTCAAAAGCACTCATGTGCATTTTAAATGTCCATAGGAGAGACGTGCCAATATGTTTTATGCTAATTAAGGCGTCTGGGATGGGAAATAAGAAAAAAAGCTCCACCAATCCTGTCAACAAGAGCCTGAAATGTTTAGTCATCATCATTAGAGAAACCTCTTGTTGATGGCTATAAAAGGGTTTAAATTTAGTTTGTTAGGGGAAATTTAACCAAAGGATAGTTGGAGGTGTAACTTGGAACAAAAAGGAAGTAAATCTATTGTCAATCTGTGTAATAGTGCTTCTTATAAAAAATAAAATACATCACCATCAGATTATTTTTTTCTTTAAAGGGCTCCACATTTGGAAAAATAAAGTATATTTGGGGCTGAGCTGCAGCCATGAAAGCATGTTAAGTGTCATCTATCCTATTTAAGTGCAATTGGTGTAGATAAAAAAAACAACAAAACTTGCCGCAATTATCCAGAGATGAGTAGTAATTTATACAATCTACTTGAGTAACTTTTAGAGACCAGTGTACTTTTTGGAGTAGTTGTTCTCTTTTTTTGTGTGATATTCTTTTGAGGGTATTGCTACTTTTGAGTATATAATCTGTTTATTCTAGCTTTTCTGAGATTAGAGAAAAAATTTGATAAACTGTAGATAGTTAACTGGAAATTCTTTATAACTTCCTGACATTTGAATTATCAAAAGTGATTGTGTGCGTTTATGTAGCAGTTACTGTGGAAAGTTTCTTCTACACAAATTTGTTATTTTGTAATTATGTTATTTGCAACTTTTTTCTGTTTAATTTCTTTGTAATTCCAGGATTTGCGCATAACTTACTGATTTCATCATTTTAACAATTAAATCAGATGCTTGGAGTAAATAGTACTCGAGTTTCAATTTTACAAAATATTTTTTACTCTTGCTTGAGTAATTTCTTGGATGACTTCAACATTTACTTGAGTAGAAAATATTTTTTTAAAGTAGTATTGCTGTTGAGTAAAGCATTTTAGGGTACTTTACCCACCTCTGGTTAAATCAAAGCCGCATCATACTTGGATATTTTTTTTAAGGATGTTGGTTTATTTTTACCGTTAACAAGAATGTTAAAATAAAATGAGATACTAAATGAAAGGCGAAGCTTTTTTTCTTCATTTGAGAAAATAATTTATTTAATAACACAGTAACCATGTATCCTCACACAATTAATTCAAACACGCACACACCACTGGTTTCCCTTAAAAAAAAAAAAAAGAAAACAGAATACCCAGTGTTTGGTATTAGAGTACATCATGTTGTGTGACTGTGCAGGTCCCTTCAAGCTGTAACCACTCTTAAATCATAAAAAAAAAAAAAAAATGTAAACAAAATTAAAGCTGTAAAATGTTACCTGTACGCTCCAAAGTATACGTTTTGGGCTGAAACCAGACTAGATTTTATTTCTAGAAACCGAACAATAAGAAACCATCTTTCCAGCATGGCGCATCTTTATGTTTTCATATAATTATATCTAAACCAGCTGAAGATCATTTGTTTCCAAGCAAGTAAATATGAGCAAAAAATCCTGATGCCTAAAGCACTTTTAGGATACATACATAGGATCACATTCTTATACCAGAACAGTGAAACAACTTTTTAGATTCTTCAACTGAGAGAAGAATCTCAATGTGCACAAATGGTTTGGTCTAATATATATCCCCCTCTTTTTAAATCTGTTAAAAAAATAGGTTATTCCCCTGATTGGTTTCCATTTCTGGTCCCTTAAAGAAAAAAATAAAAATAAAAAAATAAGTCCGACATATATCCCACTTGTCAAAATTTTGATTGTTGCTGATCAGAGCTGCTCAAACGAGACAGTATTCTCCCATATACCCAAAATGCACTCTGCTGCATTTGCACAAGCAAATAATACACACAAAAAAGACAAAAAGAGAAGTACAAAACAAGTTCAAATGATACACACAAAATGTTCAGAATAAATCCAAGCCTGCATTTTTCCACAAAATCAGGGATAGGCAAAGTCTTACAAACAGCTGTTAGTGCAGAAATGTGTCTATTGCTGGTGTCATCGATGATCCTTCGGAAAAATCTAAAGAACCCCTAACCACGTCGGATTAATAAGGAACGACAGCCGCGGACGAGTGAAACTATGCAACAAGACTGTGGGTGGATGAGAAGACGACTGCTATGAAAGACTGGGAGTTGTAGTAAAATCTCCCTGACAGCAGATGGCAACAGTGCCATTAGAGGCAAAGAGTGAGCACTGGGACAGTGCACACTTTAGAAAGAGTAACAATACTGTGTGTTTGTACTGATCTGGCTTGATTCTGATCAAGCCAGCTCAGTATTCCCCTCAGTAAATTAAACAAGTGAGGAGATTACATTAAAAAACAAAAACAAAAAAAAAACACAGGGATTGTGTTCAGTGTTGGCAGAAGCCCTGAGTTAAATGAGAGAATGTCAGGTCCAATTCTCATAGTGATGAGATTAATACCTGGTTCTCATAGTATCTGTTCTGGACAGACTTCCTGGAGATGTGTGAAGCTTACAGGTGATCTTTAAGCTTATCAACAGCAGATTTGAGTCAAGATTATTAAAGCAATAATAATAATAAAAACTAAACTAAGGCCACTATGTCTACAGTCAATAAAAATGTTACAGGCTCAAGATACAAAAATCCTTTTATAAGTTAAAATAAGTTACTCTAGCTGCTCCATTAGTTTCCATGAGTAAATACAACTACGTTTGGCATGGATCGCTTTGGATTCTTACGGCACAAACAAATACTACCAACCAGGTATTAAAAGAGGAACACTGGCTTATGCAGCCCAACAAAAGGCACTGTTGTCAATTCCTTCATCATTTCCAACCACCCATGTGTCTCATCATCACAGTGCTCAGCAGCAGCTTTTCAACCACAGCTTTCTTGTCTGGATAGAAGCTCCTTAAGCCCTTGGAACACGGTTTGTTCTGACAGGTCCACGAGTCTCAGCTTTACAGTTTGATTTTGACACCATGCTGCGGTGACACCAAAACATTATAACACTCGGTGGAAAAACGTAAATACAAGAAGCAGTTAAAATCATCGGCTGACAGAAAAAAATAAATACTCCCAATAAAGGTAAGCCATTTTCCTTCTAGCATGCAGCATCCTCCATCTAAATATACATACAGGACAATTACAGGTATCTGACAAACAAATTCACGATGATAAAGGTTTGGTTCAGCTTTGGTCTCTTCAGCCCTCCTACTCACCAAACCTCACAGCTCACAGAAGAAAATAAACCTTCAGCCCTTTTGATTCACCCTTCAACAGCATTGCATTGTTTGTTTTTTCATTTCTACATTGGTGTTTTGATGTTTGCTCCAAATGAGTAGGGCCGAGCCTGAGTGGGAGGGGTTTGGTCTTAATCGGGGGGAATTTATCAGACTGCTTATCTGAACCTACAGCTGATCAAAGGTAGAAGAAAGTAAGAGGGCTCAAAGACAGTTGGGGGAACATCTGATTCATCTAACATTTTGTTATCATCCCTGCTCCTTTTAAATCTCCGTATGTTAAAAGGACAGCTAAATAGTTACTAATCGCAATACTCGCGCTTCTGCTAGCAAGTGAACGTAAAACAGTGTGGCATAAGGGGATTAAAGTGCACTGAATCAAAGTGGTAGCTTGTGGGAATGTGGGTTATCAGCAATATCTGGTTAGCTCCCAGGCCTGTTGGCTCTGAAAACGCAAAAGTCACATTTCTAAACAACAAACGTAGGCACCAGGAGGATGTTATGAGATGCAAATAATGCAGGAGAACCGTAGGGTAATACTTTTTCTACAGTACGACACAGCAGCAGTTCATCCAAAAGGAGGATTTGCTAAACAGGGACCACAGGTCCTGTTGTGGGGGACACAGACACACACAGATGTACTCTCAACATGTCATAGACATACGTACAGACGTACTACAAATACAGCAGACTAGGCTCTATGGGCTTGGCGGTGATAAGCAGTGAGCGTCTTATAGGTGCAGTAAACGGGCACCGACAGTCGCTCTGACCTCGCCTTCTGTGACACCTTGTGTGCTTCTTTCTCTGGTAAAAAGTCATACTGCCATTTCCTTCCCCATCTAAAATTAGCTTTATTTCATTTTGGGTCGTATTTGGTCAGTTCATCCATTAACCGAGCGCCGCTGCGTTTTAGATGACCGAATGTTCCAGCGCTGAGGTGAAGGCAGTTAATTTCTACTCTGCAGTCCACACCCTGTAAGGTGATGGGATCAGGAACAGGGGTTTACAAATGGGGCTAAAAGGCATGTGTGTGTTTTGGAAGTGGTGATTAGCACCAGAGGAGAAGGCAGAGAACAAGAGCAGTTTAAAGTGTCTCCTCGACGCCATGTTGGAACAGCGGTGCTGGAAAGTGTGAGATGTAAAAATGAGGAGAAGGAAAGAGGGAAGATACAGAGGTTTAGGCTTTCGCCTCGAAGCAGGAGCTCCCGGTGAGGTGGGCACTTTGGCAGGGCGGTTTCTGTTTCTCCCACTGGCACATGGCATTGGCGTAACCCACAATTACTTTGTCCATCCAGGTGAGGGGCTGAGGGAAGAGTACATCCCCTTCGAAGAAGCCCAGGTGGCCTCCGTGAAGCGTCAGGGCGAAGATCACGTTAGGTTTCTTTGCTGGTGGACGAAGGGGAACAAGGAGAATAACACAGATTATCATCTAGAACAACCACTGCAGTATTTTCCTTCTGGCCATTTTTTGAAAATCAGGTAGCTCAAACAGATTGGCCTTGACTAACAGGTCCCACAGGCTGTCTGGTTCAACCCATGGATTATTTGGTTGCCTCAGTACAGCATTAACTGCTTGGACACACCCATTCTGTTCCATATTTTATAAAACAAAAGGTCAGTGTTGCTTTCCTTCATGCTGGTTGTGCCGAGGTATGTTGATTTTTTTAAAGCACAGTGTTTTATATAATTCCACAGAATTTATTGGAGACATTCGGCAGCAAATAAAACGGTTTGACTATGCAAATTAACAAACGGATATTTTAAAGCAGATATGTCTTCTTTTTTTTTTCTCCAGCTTTTTCTTTGTCAGAGTCATAGCTCACAATTATACTTGCCTCCTTGACTTAAATCAAGAATTACAAAATTACCCCAGGTATGTAGGCAGGCTAAGGCAAAGCAGAAAGCTGCTGAATAACCCTAAGAATGATGACATTACATCTGGAATCATGAACTCAGGCATTAAAAAATATTTTAAACAAGACAAAACAAATGAAAGTAGAGTCCATGTCTTTGAGTTCATGAAATAATTTTTTATACAGTGATTCATCAAGCCAGCAAGAGAAACCTGATTTTTAAGGGCAATAGCTCCACCTAACAAACCGGCATCATATGGAGGGATTTAAAATGACTGCTTGTAACAAAAACTGTAATTGAAAACAAACACCCAGTTTCAGCATCACTGCTTGGCAACAGCACAATTATTACATTTTATAGAAGTGGAGAAATTGTAAACAAAGATAAAGGTCACCTTTGTAATTAAATAAGACAGATAATATGTGTGGTTTATCATGCAGTAGCAGTAAATCTGAATTCACCAGGTTTATTCCTGCTATGCTCACAGTTTGACGCAAATGATGCAGATATTGATGACAGGCTGCACTTTTGATTTCCCCCTAACCCCTAGAACCCTACGGACCCACCGACGGGTCCAGCTGCTACATGACCTTGTAATTTTAACAAACCCCCAGTATTGATGTAAAAAACATATTTGGCACAGTTTGGTGACATTTATGGATAAATGTGCCAAAATCTCCGCCTAATATTTCTCACTAATACCATTCTAAAATAAATATGATTCATCTGATTGAGTCCAAATTTGGTATATTTTTACACAACATTTAGATTTGAAAGTCTGTACTACTTTTTTGTGCTATAAATAATATTTTGGTAGTGTTTTGCAATGTTTATTTCAAAGAAAATTTTGGCGAGGTTCAAAAAAATGCAAAATATTTTGTATTTTGTCCCTAATATTTCAGGCAGGGTCAAAGCTACAATGGTGCTGACACCAGAAAACCATTCTATGACATCCTACCTTTACAGACGTACCAAAAGTTTCTTCTTAAATCTAATAGCTTTGAGGCTATAAGTTATTTACTTTTGTGTGTTTTTGTCAGGCAGAAATTTATTTATACCCCCTTAGGGTGTAAGAGGCTAAGGGACCTGCCACAGATTGCTTGATCTGTTTTACTACAGGTCTGGTCTTTCTAATTTGACATATGATTAGAAAAAAGCCACCTCTACACTTTAACACAACCATTAGTCTCTTCCAATTTGCTGCAGTAATGCATCAAATAGGAAATAAAAATATAGAAATACCAACCCGGTTGTAGGTCATTCTCCGCATCCTATGTGGGTTAGTGGGGTATCCGGAAAAGCGATTCAGATATGCTGGGCTTTCGCCACTCAACATGACAGATACTGAGCGACCACGCACACAGAAGGGGGGGGGGGGGGGGGCTAGAGCCTTGACAGCGGCCCAGAAGGCACTACATGACAGCTGGGAACAACATGCTGTGCAGAACAGCTCACATTCGAAAAAAACAAGAGCTGTGCATTTAGGCAATTTATTTGCACTAAATTCCCTTCATTACAAGACCTTAGCTGAACAGGACACATTAAGTATTCCTTGGAGACTAATTAGAATCCTGTTTACTTCAACTGCTATCAAAGATTTTTAACCCCAGAGGATTGTGGCATCAACAGAGCAGTAGTATTTCTGTCCAACCTCTTCCTGGTAGCTCTGAGTCAGTCAGTTCCACATCCATGGTCAAAGGGCAGATTATCTCTTAGTCTGGGAGTTTGAAGAGCAACTGATCTCACAATGACAGCAGGAGTCTATGTCAGGACGCCTGCATGGGGAATATTCCTTATTCCTTTTCCAAAACAATCAAGCAGTCAGTAATGTTAAATATAGCACTGAACTGGTGGAAAGTACAGCCAGTCAGTCTTTACTTTAAGAATAACTTCAAACCAGAAAACATTACTCAGAATGTGTGCTACACCCTGCCCTACCAAGAAATGTAGAGCTGGAGGTTTTTCTCTAAGAAGGATTCATTACCAACATTCAGCCAAACAGGACAAACACACTGTGATTATTTAACACAGTTCAACTAAATTATGTCACGCTTTGTGACTTCTGTGGCGTTTACCATAGGATGGCTTCGGTTTACCCGTGAGAACAACCCAAACAAGCCACAAGTCTACTATAAGAACACATAGCAGCCTTTCATTTGGATTTCTAAATGAAAATAATTGCCTAAACATAATGAACTGTAACAATAATTTTCCACATTGCCAGAGTCAGTCATTCGAATGAGAACGACATATCTATTTCTATCTGCAATATATTCTGCAACTGTAGGCCAAGACTCGCATCTTAAATATATATAACAAAAACAATTAAAAATGATTAATTTTAAATCATAATATGACATGGCAACTTAACTAAGACCTTTTCAGTCATCAAAAGCTAACTTATTAATAAGGACTTGTGCAGGGCTTTGCAGTGTTTTAACTACATATCATTGGCAGAAATGTTTACTTTCTGCCATTACAAACACATCACATTGAATTTTGTATAGCCATTTTTGATGACTGCATGTATTTGTGCTGTTTTGTGTGTTATCATGTACGCTTTTGCTTTCAATGTTTTTTATTTGGATCTTGAGTTTTAAACAAATAAAGTATATGAATTTTAAACCCTGTAGATAAAGAAATGTCTCAGTCTAATGTTTGGAGGCATATTGGCTTTAACTCTCCTGTTAAATAGGGTTAAGGTGGACACAATCCAACAGAGACAGGTCAGTCAAGTTCTTCCCCATCAAAAACGCTCATCCATTTCCAAACGAACCTTGTTACTTTTTTACTCTGAACAATGAGTAATTGTTCAACTGTTTCATCAAAACTTGAAAGATGGATTGTAACTCTAGAGAACATTAATGGTAATCAATCAGCCTGTTTTATACTTCTTCATCCAGTGTTGTTCACCTCATTTGTCACACTTTATTGGATTCAGTGTCTTGGCCACAGATTATATGAGCAGTGAGTTAATTTCACTAATTGCACAGGTGGGATTCTATCATGATACTAGTCTGGAACCCATTCTTCCACAAATGACTTCAGAAGCAGCCAACACATTTGGCTTCTGGACTTCACATACTTTCATATGCTAAAGAGAGTGAACACTGGAATTCAATCATTTGCACAGGTTCCAAAAAAAAGTTCTATTCAAACTATTCATGAGAGGTTTGAAATATTTTAGTAGTTTGATTTAAATTAAACATTTTAAAAACTTTTGCTCAAAAACCTGCTTAACTTGTGTCAAACAATATTAGAATATCCGGTGGTTTCACCAGATCATCATTTCATATCAGAATAGTTTTAGACATTTTGTAACAGACTTTGTGCAATATGCTGATTCACAGCAAAGTTAGGAGCAGTCTTTCAACATATTTGCTCAAAGCGGGCCAGGAGTAAATGGGTTCAGACGATTGCATCATTTTAAGACACACCTGGGTCAAACAAAAAACATGCAATTAAATATAATTATGGTTAAAAAAAACTAAGAATTTATTTTTTTCTTAAATCATCCTAATTCATGAAATTAGCTAAATTGCATGATTCTCTATGGTTTTGGGTAAAAAATGCTGGGTGATAAATACCTGCTAACGTGCGAGGGATAGCAAGCAATGAGTCATGAACCAGAGGGTCGTCTGCAGAGTTTACCAGGAGCAGTGGCACATCCACCTGCAGGTTAGAGCACAGATTTCTATGCATGAAACACAAATATGAAAACAGAAAGAGGAGAAAATAACACAAGATTGCTGGAGCTCTTCTTACATTGTGGATATAATGTACACAGCTCTCCTTCTCATAGTACTCTTTGAGAGAGCTGTAGCCATGAAATTTTCTGTTGAAATGTGAAAAGAAAAATACACCATTACACACCAATCAGCATCACATATTTCTTGCATGGGAATCAACAGGTCCTGAACCGTTTTACGTACCTCATGATGTTGTCGTCGATCTGCATGAGGGATGTTGCTGTGTACAGCCGGCTGAGATCTGCATCAAATTTTTTTGGTGAGCTTTCCCCAAAAAGACTGTGCCTGTTGCACACAGGTGGAAATGAGTTTGGATTTAAATCGGGTTAAATTATTTCTGATACAAGCAGCAACACTTCAACTGTCAATGACCTCCACAGAGAAACAAAACAAAACAAGGAATTAGCAGTTCAAACTACAGACGAGGTGGTAACGGAAGCATTGCTTCTACTGCAAAGTTAAACTTAATTCTGTTATGAATTGCAGGTGCTATACCTGTGTGAGAGGATGATCTTCTTCATGTTGTCTGCCATTAGGAAATTATAGAAGCGTCTGAACTGATCCCACTGTAGGAATGTTTCCTGAGCCCTAAAAGGTAGAGATTAATTTGCAAGGTGTTAGCTTTGCAAAAAACACGCCCAATTCTTAAATTTAAATTTACAGAACAATAAAAGACATGGTTTGAAAGGAGCAATGGCATCAAAATGAAACACAGGAATAGATTTAAATAAAATAATCTTGGAGAACAATTTTCTTTTCTAAAGTCTTAACTTGTTAAGCTTAAGCCGGTCATACAGTGCAATTTTTTCAATGGTTGCAGGCAGCTACAACTCGCACTGTACAGCTCACGATGCATGTTCTCTCACTGTGCGGCACGGCGCTCTGATGCGATCTACCTGCTCACACTGTACTTCTCAAAAAACCACTTTAGACTCAGCTCCGCAGTGAGATGGCACTACTCGGACTTGTATTCGAGTCATTTTGCTGCTCGTAACAAAAATAAAAACCAGACTCAACTTTCCTCAACTCAATTAATCTCTCAATCACCTTTGACACAAACATGTAATCGTTTTCTTTTTTTTTTTTTACATCAAATCATATTTACATACAGTTCATGTAGATGATCTAACACACAGAGCTTTCCTTAACATGTATAAAAGATAGAAGATGAAAGGTAAAAAACCTAATGGTAGTTAAGGCTTATCAACATAGTTTAATTATTTGATAATTTTCAATACATGGATAATCTATATAATTATTCTAAGGTATGAATCATTTTAGTAAAAATACACACATTATCGAAGCTGTTTTCATAACATTAAAATGTAGGATTAACGTGGGGGTAAGACACAACCTTCACTGTCAATTTTTTAATCCATCTTATACCAAAATTGGATTCTCTCTCCTTCTGTAAATTTAATATATATACACAACAGGTCTAATGACTCTCCAGCTTCTTTTAAGATATTTTACGCTTAGAATATTTTAAAACAACTACCAACATTTTAGCTAACAAAGAGGAACATAGTATTTTTAGTTAAAAAGTATAAGAAAAAAAAAACAGATCCCTTAAGTCAGTATTCATGGTTATAAAACCTTCATCTTCCTAACTAACCACAGCCTAAAAATCCAATATGGCTGCTGCCTCTTTCAAACACAACAAAAGCTGGAGTAAAGCTCTACTTTCATTTCTTACCATAGTCTATTACTTCGTATCAGATTAAATCTTTTTCTAATACTTTGTGCTGAAAACCCACGACTACTACTGAACATGGAGTTCAACTAGGTTGAAGTGGGTGTGATGTAATTTTCCAGATCTCTGCGTCAGTAAGTAGCCACTAGCTTTGGTTCTTGGTTAAAGCTGAAGTCTGTACGTTTTTAAAAATCACTTTTTTGTCATATTGGCTAAAACTTTCCCTATGCCCAGACAGCAGTACATGTGATATGTAACCTGTGAAAAAAACTGCTTCAATTGGTACCGCCTACTGCCTGTATTTCAATCTGGAAAGAATAATTCGGGACGAGTCAAAACAACTAATAACAGCTAGAGGAGCGTCTGATGGAGTGTCAATCACAGCTCACACACGCTGAATTCCCCCCCCCCCTTCTGGTCGCATGCGGTAGCCGCGCAGATGCTGTTAGAGGGGTGGAGCTTAGAGGTGGGGCATGAGTGAAGCAGAGAGGGTGGGGGAGTGGCGTGAAACCTGTTTTTCTTCAAATTTTCAGTCGAAATCTGCTCTCTTCTCAATGTTACAAACTGCAGCTTTAAATCCACCCCTCTTTACCCTAGTCATTGTTTACAACAAACATTAATGTAATTAAATGATTCAAACGTTTTCATTTCACTTTGTATTTTTCTTATGATTGGTTGTTAGATACCAGTGTATCACTAAATGGGACCCAGGTACCACCAGTGTTATCTGTGCCAGAGATTTAGGAACAGCTTGGATTTTGTAAACTAGAATGAGCTGACAGGAATTGGAAATGAAGTAGATTTTCCATGAAGCATTATTTTCCCCACACATTGGAAAATGTAAATCTTATAATAGTTAAGATGGTACAGGAAACTCAACAGAGAAACCCATCATCTTTGATTTATACTCTGAGTGCCTGAGCTAACATAAAACTAATCTGCACTACAAGCAGCTGAAACTGAAGCATAAACTCTTCCGGTTCTGTGGTTATTAATTGGTCTGAATGGACAGCCACTAAAAGTTTCTCCAAATATAGAAGCATGTCAAAATAAACCTGCACCAGTGATGGCAAGACATTTGACAGACTGTAGCTAGCATTATATAACCACATGTGAATGCGGTTCAATCATTATTGCCTTATTCTGAGCCAAGAAATGTAGAAGTGCTAAAACATGTCTGATGATATAACTCTACAAATAAGGAAATAAGGGGACTAAAACCCACCTGAGAGCACTGTAACCCTGGCAGACGCTTACGCAGCACAGCACTCGCTCCTGGTTGGCTCTGCTCTCGCCCAGGAATTTGCAAACGATGTTTCCACCCAGACTGAAGCCCACGACAATCAGCTGGGTTTTAGGGTAGGTCCTCTTAATGTAGCCAACCATTGATGCAAATTCCCAAGTGCACCCTGGAAAAAAAAGTGACAATAAAGTTACTGATCAATAAAAAATAACCCCACTTCAACAGTGAACCACAATATTTCCTGCTCAGCAGTTCTTGCCACACTTACATTTCTATAAGATCTCTTTACCTTATTTGTATTTCTTTACTTGCAGAGATTATTTTATTGCTTCACATACTGCAAAGATCTTTCAGGTGTATGTGCATGTGTGTGGCATATTACTAAATCAGAACCAATTTGTAACATTAGAAAGGACTAATAATGGCCTAGCTCTGTTTTAGTTTTTCTGAATTTAATTACTTGGCCACAGAAATAACTCAACTAAAAGAGAAGCAAAAAGAGCAAAAAGTGGTGAGACTGGAGAAAAAATACATCTTTTTTTCATGTTTTAAATATATGAATCCCTCTCAGAGTCTAACAGCATGAATAAGCAGAAATCAGGAAGCTCTTACCATAAGTAAACATGCGTGGAGAGGTAAGCTCGATGTTGGGAAGAGCGCCCAGATGGTTCAGCACAGCGCACCTGTAGCCCTCCTTCTGGGCATAATCTACAAAGGTCCGGATGTAATGCTTCTCGCTATGGTTACCGATACCAGGACATATCACCATGGTGATCTCATCTGTTGAATACAGGTAAACAGGTCCAAGAGAAACATGTGCACGTGAGAGAAATGCAAGCAACGATAAGGGGGAAGAGTCATAAATGTAAACGAACAAAGCAAAACTCTGCAGCCAGTCCAAATAAAGGATTGGGCTGTTGGTTTGTCAAATACACAGTTTATCAAAAAACATCTAGACTACAAGAAGAACAAGATATTTTTTCAAATGTCTTAAAAGATTATGAGAGATCAAAGGTGACGTGTTAGAAAGGATTCATCATTAACAAGGTCCTCATAAATAAGCATCCAATGATATGTAACCTTAAGATCAATAACACTCAAAAAAGAATAACTGCTGCAAAAATCTATTTCGGATGTGTAGGTTCTGGCAAAACATCACACGCCAAGATTTTCTCACTTATTTCTTCTTCTTAGGCACAGCTTGTATGTTATTCACTTAATTATGCTGTAGCTTCCAGATTTTTTATTTTTTTTTGTAACGTATCTGTAAAATATCTTTTGAAGGAAAGTCTTTGACCCCTCTTGGCACCCTCTATCTATGTAATTAAGGAGGAACAACAAAATCGGGTAAACCTCAGGAAGATCAGTGCAGGAGCGCTCCTTCGTCCAGGATGGACAAACACTCAAAAGGTGTGGCATGTACTAGACAGAAGTAGCAGCAGTAGAATTACAGTTTCAACAGATATGATTACAGTTTATAAACATCAGCTTTTGTCTTTCATTATATGCCACTATCAGCTAAGAAAAAACTAAAAATAATCAACAAAAAGTAGGTGATTGATTAGAACACAACCAGTGATTTCTGCTAATTTACAGTCAAACATTGCTGGTGCAGGAAAAAGGGTGCGGACCCAAGATAAAAATAAAGTGGAATCTGAGTAAAGTGTTTTCTATAAACTGAGGTTTCTTAATAATAAAGCAGAGAAAGGTCAAATAGGAGCTGCTAAAGCTGGACCTCAGGAGAACCATTCACTCTTTCCATCTGATCAGTGTGAATGAGCTGAGCCAGCTCAATATGAAGAGCGGTACAAACTCTGAGGATCGCCTCTGAACCGCAGCTACAAGGGTTGGTTTAAGATTATTATTGCTATTTATTACATTCAAAGGTTCCCAGTGTATTACCAATGCTTTGGTTGTTAAAAGGGTGGGTACAGCAATCAAATGACAAGATCATTACTGCGCTTTACAATCTAATTATCAGTGTTGAAAGAAAATTATGGAGCATGTACAGTTATCAGAGAAAAATCACCAAAGGTTCAGGAGATCACCTAATTTTTCTTTCTAATTATTCATGAAAAGCCTAAGAATACTAGTTAATTTAATCAGATGTTGATAAAATGCATCACCTCCTGTTTGATGGTCCCCCAGTGGCTCAAAGAGGTCAAAGGTTGCGGTGGCTCCATCATGCATGGGTAAATACTTCCTGATTCCACAGGGGTGAGGTGAGCTTACCCGTCCCAGTTTACCATACAGCGCTGTTTGGAGGTGGCCGCTCTTACCCCACAGTAATGGCGGAACGTACCTGGAAAATAAACCCTGCTTAGTCTGATATGGACATACGAGTCTCCCAACAGCTGGTAGCAATAAAACATCATACATAGAGTCATTTTTCCCCCTTTAGTAGAGTCTTAAAGACAGCCATGGAAACCAATCATGTTTCATGTTAGTCTGTTGCTATGTTATGCTAGGTTGTGCTTGGTATGTAAGCTGGGAAAAAACACTGATGCCTCTGCAGGTGTAACAGTAGGACTGAAAGGCTTATGTAATACTTCTTTCAGCATTTCCTGCTTTATCACCTTATTGGAACTTTAAAAGTAAACTTGTACCTTAACCATACATCACAATAAATTAGGCAGATAGGCATGGACTCTAGCTGCAGTAGATGTCTATCATCCTCTCTGACCCTTTCTGGGTGAAATTAATTTGCTTTGATAATTTGCTTGATAACAAAATAAATTATGTGTTATATGATTTTGTAATGTGGAAGATCTACCTATATCAAGATCCAAGACTAGAGTCTCAAATGTTAATAGCCAACTTATCTACATCTGGAAACAAAAAGTGCAGGTGATTCATTAACTGAGAGTGTTTTGTGCTCATTAAATTGGTCATCATAGCAGAAAATGTCCATGAGGAACAGAGCAGAAAGGAATTGGCCATCTGAGAGGCATAGAGCATCACAGTGCAGGTAAAGCGTGTGCTGCTCTCAGGTTAATATGACAACAGCACATCCCACATAACTCAGGTACAGCAGGCAGGTGCACCGTGTGGAGGGTTCGATCAGATCAGCAGTTACACAAGCCCTTTAACCTTGTTCTTGTTCATCTCCGACTGTCACAATACCCAGACCGAGAAAAGATATTGCATAAGAGGACTGTCAAAAACAGCACCACTCCCGTCTGGTGATAATGTGATTACTGACACCATGCACTGCAGCTGTAGACAAAGATTATCTTCACTTTCCGGAAGGTTCTTAGCCAGACTACGTACTGACTACCTTATTTGTCCTCATGTGGACAGGGAGATGTAAAGGATTAGTAGAGATTACTCCTTTTCCAATCTGAAAAAAATCAATGACACAGTGTTGATATACTAATCTAAACCATTTTTTATTGAAACTATTTTAATCAATCACTATAGTTGTGTTTTTGTCAAAAAGACCCTGGGAGGAACACACTGACCTAGCCGGTTCTGCTGAGTGCATCTTCTAGAACTGTCAACGTCACTATCACACACAGCGAACGGGCCGCTGTCCTTCACCGCTATTAGGTAACAGTAAAGGGGAACCAGATGTGTCAGCGTGATTTTAGGAGACGAACATGTGAAGCTGAGAAGTAAAAGGCAAACTTCCCTTATTTGATAGAATGCAAACAAAGAAAAATCAAACAGAAACAACCCAGGCTTGTTAGTGGAACTGAAAACAATGAAAGATTTTATCTTCGTTAATATTAAAAGGGAAGATAGACAAAAAAGCATGCACTATTTTGTTGTATATCTTTGCTTTACTGATGATGATGTGTTTAACAGTTTTCTCTTGGCTTATGTCATGATTTCACCTAAACTCTTCATTAGTCTAAGGACTTCAGGCTAGTTTAAATCTACAGTATATCAGGCATGGGCATCAAGGGCAGGGAAAGTCTATCCAACGAGCCAAATCAATTATTTAAGGGATGGAAAGCATTAATTAACATCACTTGAAATATTATAGCCTGCTTAATACTTCATTCTAGCAGCCTTTTGCTAACACTAATGACAACTATATGGTCAAATGTATGAAATATATTTCCTCTGACAATCTTATGATGTATATGCATCTCAATAATATGTTGGTATACTTTTCTCTGCTTTTGGCAGCACCTTCTGCTCTTATATCAACACAAAAAAATCTCCAAAATCTTTATCTAACCCTTGAGATCATATACTTCTAAAAGTCATCAGGATAAAAGGCAAGAGCAGCAGCTAGAAATACTCCTTCCTGTTGTGTATATCCGGCATAAACCCAGAGCAGATATTCTCAAACGGGGCCTAATGAATGTTAACCTTGCATCACCCCTTCTTTCCTCTCTCTGGGGGATCGATCTGTTATGCAACAACAAAGGCAGTCATTATGAGGTAGTAACGTGACTTCGTAGCACAAGGCAGAAGGAGATGTTGCAGGATTTCAGCAAACCTGCTTTATGAAGAATCTAGTCTCTGCATTTTAAGCAGAATCTATGGCCATTCAGGAGGTAACCATAACACATTGGACACAAGTGTAAACACCACTGATGCCTTATGACTCAGTGACACGGCAGCAGAACAGCAAAGGGCTGAGTAACAGTGGGTTATATAAGCAGATAGGACTGTGTGCTTTAAGCGAATCCCCTGGTTGATGCAAAAGTTGTTATTGAGATTTATGAGCGCAGACAGATGTATACAGTGAAATAATTTAAGAAGAGGAATATTGGTTTATTAGGAAAAAAAGGAATGCAGAGCCCTTCATAAATTATGGGTCTGAGCCGATGCTGGAAGAGCAGAAATATTTCTACCTACGACGATCTGCTTTGCATCAGGTTCACTTACTTGGTCATAAATGTAAATCCTGTCTTTTCATAAACCCAGCCTACTAAAAGAAAAAGCCCCAAAATACAGCCTAATGTTTAACATCTCCGATACACACCGGCAGCATGCCCAGTGACACTGATGACGGTACCTGCTACCTACACCACAGCAACAGATGGCCAAAAAAGTAACACAGTTTCCCTGGAAACGCAACACAAAAGGGAGGAAACTCACTCTTTGGTCATCTGAGAGCAGGACTTGAGCAGGAAGCGGTTGAGGGCCGTGTCCTGGTAGGTGAGGTCCGGTGGTGCAGTGGGACTCTTAAGATTCAAGCAGCGGACGATGATGTAGAGAACCGTGGCGACGGCCGCTAGCTTCATGCCGTCAAACATGGCCGGCATCTCAGGGGAGATGGTGTGCAGGTTCGACTCGTACTGGGTACTCATAATTAGGCTGTAAAGTACATAAAGTATGTTGTTTTTTTGTAACCAAGCGGAAAATCCAGAATGAAAATCATTTACACACTGCAAGAACAAACTAGAAATAAGTAAAAAAAAAAATTTTTATCAAGTCTATTTACTCATAATTTGAGTAGATAAATAGGATGATTGCTAATAGAATGATTCTTTTTACTATCAAAATAAGATAATTAGATTATTTTTTAATTTTTAAAATAATTTTTCTTAGTTTAAATGTAAATTGTCTTGTTCCATTGGCAAAGAGCCTCGATTTCCTTCTCAATTCAAGATAAAAATGCACTTATTGTAAGGAAGAATTACTTATTTAGATTTTCTTTTTTGCTGTGCATAGTCAGTAAAGGTTTTCCTAGGGTCTGATATTGCTAGTTAATCAATTAAAGATAAGATTGTGAAAAGAAACAGATCGAATTGTGTTAATGATCTTGACTGACCTTGATATAAACTCTCGTGCCCTTCAGGGAAAAAAAATCTACAAGAAAAAACAGAGCATATAAGTATGATTGTTTTAATATGTTAATCAACAACCATTAAATTAATATTGCAACAAAGCAAGCATTTATAAAAAAAAAAAAAAAAAAAAAAAAAAGAGAGGATCTGGCTCTACTTAACTTAAAAGCACAAAGAGGGAAAACTCTTTAACATTAATATTCTATGTGTTTTACCTCAAATGATCAAACAATAAAAAATGTCATCCAAGATAGTTACACAAAAAAGAACAAAAAAAACAGAGGAAGTGCAAAGTCTGTGGAAAGGCCCACAGAAGGAAGTTACGATTAATTAGAAGTGATCAGGAACTTAAAATTTCAACAGAAAGATTATACATGCTGTCGCTATGAGACAAGCTGTAAGTAAACTAATAAGTGGGTGATAAAATCAAACGATAAGGAAAACCTTGTGTTTAAAGTTGTGTTCAAACTTGCCTGCTATGAAATTTGTCTCAGAGCTGAAACAAATTTGAAGAAGAGACGTCTCTTCAGCTCACAGGGATGCAGTGAAACCTAAGAGCAAAATAAAGTTTTATTAAACAGAGACTGCAGTGCAACAATAATGGAAATAACCCCCTTTTGCACAAAATTACTAAAATAATCTATCATGAACCATGGCTTATGATTGAGATCATTGCACTCTGAATTAACGAGGTTTTGTTTTTATCCAAAAGGGATAACTTGTTTCTTTCCTAAAAAATAAAAGAAATGAGTTTAACACACATACAAAATATACAAAAATATTTTTGTATATTTGGGAAAAGCACCGTCATATTAAGCCAAATTACAGAATCTCGTGTGACCTCTTAACAGTTAATGGGTTTAAACAAGCATTACTTATGAGGAGAACACAGATGTAGACAGTAGTGGTACCAGAATTAACCACTAGCAAACAAATTTAGCTCATTGAATAACACTGGCATACGTCACTGAAAACCCCCACTAAGAAACGGTTTAAATTTATTTCCAAATTTTCAATGGCGATAATTCAGTAATGTGTATGAATAATTCCCCCGGGACTGTCTCTGATAATCAATCAGCAGATAAACCAGAATAAAAAGTTTGTTTTTTAACATTTATTAAAAAGGGATTCTAAATTAAGAGTTTCCCCTAGACAGATGTAGTTACTGGGTTTATATCCTATCCATTATTTCTTCATTTTCTGTTAGAATCAAACTCTCTAAGACCTTCCAGCACATTTATTTTCCTTTAATGTTACAGTAATCAACACCATAAGAACAAAGGTCAGACCTATGGAACCACCAGAAACCAGTGGTGGCCAGGAGAGGCTGGATCAGAGCATGTCTTCTGATGAGCTTTATGTTATAGTGTATTAATTATACACTGATATTAAAGGAATCTATATTTTTATATCTCATTTGTTAACATTGATTGAATTCCCTATTCTTACACATAACAAGTAACACAACAATTATATTTATAAATCACACATTTAAGAATTGCATAGAAGTAAACAAAATCTAAATTAAAGAAGCATTTAATTTGGTGAAAAGGGGTAGAGTAGAAATAAAAAAACAGTAAAACAAGTAGTTTGGGTTAGTAGTAGGGAAGCTAATCTTTGGTTAGCTCTTCCCCATGTCACGACTCTCCAAGGGGGCTCACCCAGCAGTTTCCCGTTAATCGCCATGACACACCCAGAGAGATATGCCAACAAAACAGCAAAACTATTTTATGTTAAATAAAGAATAAAACGAGTCTAAGTGCATCTGCACCCGATATCCTCGGGGGTTAAAAATTAGAAACAAAACCGTTAGCTTTCCACCCACACCAAGTATTTTTTTTTTCAGTAGCAACTTCAAGCTAGGCTATATTTTCGCAAACGTTATTAATTCAAAAAGTAATTCGCGCAACGAATCTCGGCTATAAATATTGATCATTTTAATTATATATTAAGTCCCTACAGCATCATTTAACAGAACGCATCCTCGGTTTTACTTACTTCAGCTGGTCGATTGAGGCAACTCCTCTCTGCTTAGAGTGGGACAGGCTCCTAATCCACCACTGGCCTTTTTAAGTGCTTATGGTGTCTTTGAAGCATAGCAGTCTGATGTGAATCATGCCCTCTGGTGAAAGAAAAAAAAAAAAGGTCATAAAAATATAGGTCTAGACGCAGAGCCTGAAGTACTAAACGCCTCAGCTCCGACAGCCCACTTCCTAGAACAATCTGCTGCTTTGCATATCTGCGTTTTCATTGGTTCACCGGTACGGATGACGTAACATGGAGGATGTTACTGCTTTTTAGAGATGAATTTTATACGCAGATGTTACTTTTGTCAATCTTGTTTGAGCTTAACTAGTATTTTGTTTAGCAAGACATGTTGCTGCAAACAGCAAAGTAGATAAACTATTTTTTAAGGGTTTGTTTCCTTCTGTTTTTGTCAAACGGTCAACACATGTAGCACGTGCGGTGAACGTGAGCTCTGACGCTGTTACATAAGTTTTAACCCTAGTGTAATTTGCATGAAATAGCGTTAACAATCAGCTCCCGTCATTGATGTAACATTAAAACCGACTACAAAATGTATTTTAGGGTTCTAGTATCAAACTGTTGGATAATGTAAAGTGTTTCTGTATATTTATTTTATTTTTATTTAACAACGTAGGGTGGTATCTGATACTAGATTGTATATTTACATTTTATAAAGCTATTTTGGATTATTTTTGTTTTGGGAAAAGGTCCGGCAGGGATAATCTTTATAAAAGAACAAACATACAAAAAAACGTAAAACCGTAGGGGCCAGCTGGGGCCAGTTTCCAATGGAATAAGATTACTTGTTTTTAAAATAATAAAAACTATTTAACTATCTAATTTTATGGTATCTGATACAAGATTATATATTTAAATTTTATAATAACTATCTAGGATTATGTTTGTTTTGGAAAAAAGGTTTGGCAGGGATAATCTTCATATATATATATATATATATATATATATATATATATATATATATATATATATATATATATATATATATATATATATATATATAAAGTAAAACCATTGGCGGTTCTAAATAGGAGCCAACTGGGGCCAGCTGCCAATGGAATAAGATCACTTGTTTTTAAAATATATATATATATATATATATATATATATTCCACCAATTATCGCCCCATCTGTGTTATGGTTCTTCCCATTTGTTGTGAGTTTTCAGTTTTCTGTTATCAGATGTTTTGTTATTTTCCATCATATTCGAGCATTCTTCAGTTGCTCTCTGTTGCCCCCTTATGCTTGTTTTATTTCCCCTTGGATTCCCTCATGCTCCTGCTCCTTTTTCAGCTCATTAGTCCATCCTTTGTTCTGTTCTCCTTAAATACTCCACCTCTACAGTCACTCAGTGCCGGTTCCTTGTCATTGCTTTACTTGTCTACTCAGCTCGTCTCTCCGTGGCTCCTCAGGCTCGTTTTCCCCTGATGTCTCCATGGTTTTTGGTTTGTCTTAAATTTTAGTTGGATTTCTGGATTTGTAAGTCTGTTTCCTGTGTTCTTCTGTTAAACCTGTCAGAACTCATCTCTGCTTCACTCATCTCTGCATCTGGGTCCTCAAGCAACCTCACCACTCATTGTTGACAATCGGAACCAATAGGCAACGATTAACACATCCCAAGTACTATTTACATTATAGCCCACATATTTTGTGAAGTTCACAAAGAAAAAAAAAAGGTTTATTCTTAACACTATTTCAAGTGCATAATATCTAATTGTCTTATTTTAAGGGCAGATATACTAATTTATTTCTCATGTTATTTACTTAGGCAAATACACATTTTCTAAATATGACTTATTTTTATATTAATAAAAATGTATCAATTTATTATGGTGGTACTGTGTGTGCTGATAGAAGAGACTAACTGATTCTTGGACCAATTTAATTTTTAGCCATTATAATTTCCTTGAACAGTTATAGTCAGCTTTAAGCTCCAGCTGTATTGACATAGGATCATAGGTTTTATCAGTCAGATCAGGGGTCTGGAACCTTGGCTGTGGCTCACTTAATATACTGGATGTTGGGCACTTCTCCAGTTTTTTGTGTTTTTTTTTATTCTTTTGTCCTTTGCTTCAATGGAAAAGCACTGGCTCCACCCTGGCTCTTTGTAAATTTAAACTGCCAGTGTAAAACCCTAAAATCCCTATGTTGGGACATAGGGACATTCTCTTTACTTAAAAATATTTTTTCCTTCCCATAAAATATTAGTTTTAATTTTACTTCAATCAGAAGTCAAATTTGCTGAGGCAGAGATCATTTTTTGTCAGATGAGTGTCAAAAATCTTATTTATTGTGGAAGTCAAGAAAGAGAAAATAGGAAGACACCAGACAGTCAATATATATATATAAATATAATAACATTACTGTTTTCAAGGGATCGACTTTAATAATATGGAACAAAATGTCTGTAGTTGTGGCATTAGGAGCAACATGGCACACTTACATAAGAGGTTTGACGCTGTTAGTATAATTATCATTGATGTTGTTTGAGTTCATTACACCCTAATATTACCTGCCTGTTGCATGTCAGAACTGATGTTTTCCCCCAGTAGTTTATCTACTCAGGACAGTTCCTCTGTTAAGATATACAGTTATCATCTTCATTCTGCCTTCTGTAACTCCAAGCAACTTCTCTGATCTGAGTAAGATAACAATTTCTGTCAGAATCTGTTGTCATCACTCATGGTTTTTTTAAATACATATACATTATTAAGTGTTTTTAAAGAGTTTGTCCCAAGTGATCTGTTTTCAGTAAAAAGAACCAGAGAGAGAAAGCTTCAAGGTGTAAACACAGAGCTTTTCATAAAAAAACACCTGGTGATGACACAACCTATCAGAAAGATCAAAACTTTGTGCAAGACATAGTTTACTGATACCACTAAGAAATATGGTCCCATTTTTTTTCATTTTCTCTTACACACTTAAATCAAATATGTTAAAGTTTAAGTCATTTTTGGGTGTTGTTCATTATCAAAGGACATGTTATTTAAGTTGGTATTAAAATAATCAATGGCAAATAACTGGCTCTAAAGGCGTGAGCGCCCTCAGGGGGCAGTAGGCTATAGGTTTTTATTTACAAATGTTGCAACTTTAAGAATATGTCCACATGATGGCGACAGAGGTAAACATATAGTTAAAAGTGAAGCCCAAATGGCTTTATACCCTCAGCAGAATTAAATTTCACATTGCTTTAATATTTCAAGTTAGAAGAAAAAGAGATAAAATTAAAAGAACAACTAAAATCTGTAACGGTTAATGATTTTGGGCTCTTATTTGGAGGGTGGGTGTAAAAGCAATTTCCTATAAATTTATAACACACTGAAATAACATTTACATTGGCTTATCCTACAATCTGTATAGTAACAATTTGCATGCACAGTTTTTATGAAAATGTTAATTGAGATAACAAATAGAGGGAAAAGTTTCTTACCTCAATTAAAAGTTTTTTTGTTGAGCCATTTACTCTATTTACATGAAAATGATTACCATACAAACTTCAGGTAAACCTAATGTTAATGTTCTATGTATATTCTCTATAGCCTTCTTTTTCTACTATTCTCATTTCTTCATTTTAACATTTTTACCTTCCCGTCTCCCTCATTCTTCTGTTTTTTCTTTAAAATATTTAAGGGATATATTGGCTGACCAGGCCATAAATAATTTCTCCTGTAGCTAAGAGGCCTGCAGGCTGGTCTGCCCAAATACACAACCCCTAACCCCTTTTCCTGGGAGCAAGTTATTTACTACACTTAACTCAAACTGGGTAAAACCATATAAAAAAGGACTATAAGTTCAGGTCGTTACAGGACAGAGAAATTGCTTGGAGTTTGCACAGCTGTGGGCTCAAAAAACGTCAGCGAGCGTCCGGCAAAGATTGGGCAAAGATTGAGCCAAGATTGAGCCCCAAACAAACTCATCTCCTCCTTCTTATACCCCATGAGTCCATGTTTTGCATCAGGTGGATGCTTAGCTGTCCGTATCAGAAACTGACACGCCATCCATGCCTTGACCTTTATGCATCTTGCCTCTTTACCACAGGATTACACATAGCTCTTCTTTATCAGCCTGGCTCCAAGATGTGCCCATATCCTGTGTATTTTTAAAGACACGAAGGCTGTCCTGTGTACCTCCGTACACACAATGACATCCACCATGTGAAGGAAGGCCTTCTACTCTGTCTAATCTGGCTAACAAAGTAATAATGCACATCATGTATAAAGAATAAACCTACCGTATTTTCACGACTATAAGGCGCACTTAAACGTCTTTTTTCCCCTCAAAATGTGCGGTGCGCCCTATGGTGCGGTGCGCCCTATGTGTGTTGTAACTGCGACTTTTGAGACCACCTCATTGAGGAGATGATGAAAGAGTGGCTGAATGTAAGGAGACCAGGTGTTTTTTTTCCACCCCTCACCATCGCTGTTAATATGTAACTCCATGCGTGCCCATCTCACAGCTGATGTGAAAAACATGGGGAAACAAATGAACGCTGTGCTCGCTGTTCAACCGCTCGACATCGGTGTGAACCGGACCCAGCAGGTGCAGCAGAAGCAGCGAGTTTACATGCAAAGTCAATGGTTGACGCGCATATAGGTGCAGCAAAAGGTCCTGCAGCGCGTTTTGGTGCAGCACGTCGGGAGCGTTTAAGCATCTGACGCACCGCCAACGCGCTGCTGCTGCTCAGATGGAAAAATTGAAGTTTTGCTGCTGGACGCGCCGCATCAACCAATCAGAGAAGCTGATCTGGGATCTGACAGCGAGACAGACAGTGCTCTGATGACATATGATATTAACAAAAGGCTGGATGAATGAGGAGATGATGAAAGGCAGGTGTATGTGAGGAGACCAGGTGCTTTTTTCCACGCATCACCATCGCTGCGTGCCCATCTCACAGCCGATGTGAAAAAAAGATGAATCAAATTAACGCTGTGCTCGCCGTTATCTCGGGGGTCTGACAAAGGAACTTCAACCACTTGACATCGGTGTGGAGCGGCCGTTCACAGTAAGGCTGCGAGCGGCGTGGGAGCGATGGATGACAGACTGAGACCACAGTTTCAGGATAAGTGGAAGGCAGCGCCGTGCAAGTTACGCCACCGTTTGCGGATGGATTGTAGATGGACTGTGTCTGCTGGCTCTGTTGTTCAAGCTTTTGCAAAAGCCGGCATTATT